CGCTACCGCGGAGGAGCTCCATTTCGCCCTATTGAGTGTCAACTTTCACTTTACTGGTCGTCGTAATACTACTACTACACACAATGATCCCTGGCGACCCATGGTGGTGATCCAAACAACGAATCCCCTTGTGATAATGGGGATAATAGTGATAGAAGTGGAAGTCACAACAATAACAATAATAATAATAACAATAATAATAACAATAATAACAATAACAGTAACAATAACAATAACAACAATATGGAAAGGGACGATGAAGAAGATTTACAACAAAATAAAAATGAATTTATGAGAAATACATCAAATTTTTTTAGAACATTTGGGAAAAGGAAAAGAGATAAGAAGGGTACATTTACAAATGTGGTTGAAAAGAATGATATCATCGAAGAAGAAAATCCAATTTCACTAGAAATGATAGAGTATTTAAAAAATATTAAAATTTTTTGGAAGGAATTAAATTTAGAGAATTCAGGAAATATGTTCATACAAACTGTAAACGATATTGATTTTATAGATCCAATTCTAGAAAGCTCTATTTATAAAGTAATTAGCAAAAATAAAGAATTCAACTCACCAACTTTTAGTAGTCAACAAACAAAAGAGCTTGAGAAACAATCACAATCAAATGAAAAAATATCAAAAACCTATAAATCACCACTGTTATCATTAAGATCGTATAGATTCAGTCCAAACTATAATTTATTTGGCGGAAATAACAGCAATTTATCTTCGATCAAGTACTCACTAAAGCTCAACCCCTACCTCAAGATCTGCCAATACGAATTGGATGGTGTTTGCAAGGATCCAGATTGTAAATTTCAGCACTTTAGAGATGTCGAAAGAAATCCATTAGAAATCATTAAAGATTTACTTAGCTACAATTTAAATGATATCAACTCAACATCAAACCAAGAATATATAAATAATATATCACAATATATCAACACTATACCATTAAATAAGCTAATTCAATCAACAATCGAATATGTAAATAAAAGGAATGACCAGTCAACTGGCAGATCACCCCAGTTTACAAATTCAAGTTATAATAGCTCTGGACCATTTAGCAGAATCTACTTTAATTTAAATGAAAAAAGAGAAAAGGAATTAGATAAGAGATTTAGCGATTATGAAAATTTGGTAACTGAAAATTTATCCGATAATCTATTTGATCATAAAAAATCAAATCGTTCAAGAAAGAAAGTGAAATCAAATAAAAAACCAAATACAAAGAAACCTTTAGCTACACCAGCAAATGATAACCAAGATATCGAAATGAAGTCATCAAATAATCAACAACTCAGTAATGAAATAAATAATAACGATAATAATAATAATAATAATAATAATAATAATAATAATAATAATAATAATAATAATAATAATAATAATAATAATAATAATAATAATAATAACAACGATATTAATAGTGGCGAATTTAAAAACAATAATAATTTTATAAAAATCAATTTATCTGATGATGAAGATAATGATGAAGATGATTTTGAAGAAGAATTTGAACAGGAGAATATTCAAGATTATGAAACCGAAAAAGAACAATCATATGGAACCAACTGTTTAATTTCAAGTTCAGACTATCTTAGTGATCCAACCAATATTCAATTATGTTTTGGTTATATTATTTCAAATTCAAATTTAGAAGATATATTTTCAGATGAAAAGAATAGATCCAATATACTTTCAGCAATCCATAGAGTCATTTCAAATAATCCTAAATCTGTTATCTTTTGGAAGATGTATATCGAACTTTTTCAATTTTATACCCAACTCGATTCAAAGAGACAGAGAACCTGATGAATAATGCACTTTCAAACTGTTCAAATTCATTAATATTCCATTTAATGAAAGAAGAGTTACCAAATCAACTTGACAAGAAAATTCAAACCTGTTTACAAGCAATAATCGATACTGGTAAAAATAAATTTTACCTTGATAATAAGGAGAAATCATTTTGGTGTTTAGAGTTTATATTAAGATATTCAAGGTCAATGGTTGAGAGTGGTCATAGAATTGAAATTTTAAAAGATTTATTAAATTATTTTACCTCAATATTAACTTACCAACAACAATCCCAACCATCTCAATCCTCACAATCATCACAACCACGACCCAACCCAAATCAAAACAATAACTTTAATTTATTATTTAATAACAATTTAACGATTAAACAAATTTTATTAAATGATGAAGATCAAGTTTTAAGATTAGTTTTTGTTTCAATCTATATATTTAATAAAGTACCATCAACATCTCAGCTCTATCAAAATGTAAATAGCACATACCAAAAAAACTCAACAACAAAAAAAACAACAATTCCAGAACAATCATCCTTATATTTTTCAACAAAGGTTCTTATTTTCGATTGGGATGCATATTTCAACAACTGTGCATATCTTTCACATAAAGCATTGATCTCAAATATTAATCAAGAGAATCAAGTAATTCCATTAAATCAACTTTGGAAACTATTAATTTATAATAATGATACAAATCTAATTCAAAAACACCAACTTCAGCATCAACGAAACAACGACTATGATGAAGATAATGAAATAATAACAACAATTTCCGAATCTTTAGTTTCAAATTACTTTTTTTACAACGAATATCACAAAAAATCAACATTTTCAAGAAACCTATTTAATGACCAAACTATAAAACAATCACTAAGTTTAATTTTATCTAAAAGTGTAAACCCAACTTTAATTTTAGATAACTTATATAATCAAGATAAGAAGGAGAATTTTAAAAATTTATCTTTTGGTTTCTTTAAAGAACTTTTAAAATGGAATTTTGTAGATTGTGACAAAAAAATGAAGATTGAAATTATTAAAAGCTTTGTTGTTTCAAAATTTTCAAATATTAAATCAACAGTACCAACTCAAATCCTATTCAATATTTTATTAAAAAGAAACTTCACCGATATGTCATTCGAACAAAGTCAATTACCTCGTAAGTTTAATATCATTATCTACAAAATTACACTATTATTATTTGATTCATTAATACTATTTTTTTACATATAGATAAACAAATCGAAACATATGATTTAATTAATGTTTGGATTTTATTTAGCGTATACGAATTTTTAAGCAATAATACCGAAGATAGCAAACTCATTTTACAAGATGCCTTAAGATTATGTAATCTATTTGAAAGAAAGATAATTTGGATAGAGTATATAAACCTATTGGAAATTTTAGAGGAATTAGATATAGACTCTTTCTTGGATAATTTTTATTTCGATATTCCAAATCATTTCAATTATCCATTAAAAAGCTATTATAATTTAATACCCCATCAAACCCCAAAACAATTTATACAGGTCCTCAAGTCTCAAACTACTGTCAAAGATTATATTGTTTTAGATATTATTTTAGATAAATATATACAATATAAAGGTTATAACAAAACTTTAATCAAGTCTTTATGCTATAAGTTCCCAGATAATGAATCTATTATTCGAATGTAGGTTGTAAATAAATAAACTTTCAAAGTGGTGGTATAAAACTAATGTTTTTTTTTTATAGGTATATTAAATATTTTATAGATAGACTAGAAACCTCACCAACCAATACAAAACAGAAACTAATATCAACCAAGTCACATATGTATTTTGATTCAATTAAATCAGTACTAAACACAGTCCATCCTACAAATATTTCAATTGAATTATGGAAATTGTACGGTTTTAAATTTTAGTTGAACAAAAAAAAAAAAAAAAACTTATTTTATTTGTTTTAGCATTTATGTGTATATATAAAAAACTATATTTTAATTTTAATTTTTTT